ATCATTAACAAGCCATTTAACTTTGATGACACTTACAACAAACTGCTTCCATGTTAATCACTTTATCTTTTTTTGTCGGTTTGTAATTAGAACAAAATCACTTTTGTCTTTTCCTTTCAATTTGAAAGCTAGACAAAAAGAAAATTATGGGAAAAAAAGGAAATATTTACATGCATACGGCTCAATTTTTTTGTATTTACATATCTAGTACAAAAACATTGATTTTTATATAAATGAAATCTTACTTATACTTGAAAATATGTATGTCACCTTTTAAAAATTAAAATAATGATATTTTGAGGTTGTGATATGAGAGATCTGAATGATATAAATGTAAAAAGTAAAATTTAGATATTAAATATATAAATATATAAGAAATCGGTTAAAAAAGGAAATCGACATAGGCCCAAATATTGATTTCTCATACGCAATCCGGCCCCATGATGAGGGCCCATGCTATGTGCCTATAACTCGACCCCCCCACACATCACGGTAGGGATTGAACTCTTGCCAGAGGGGACATACAGTGATCCTGCCTACCAACTGAACAAGGAATGCGACACTATATATATATAAAATAATAATAATAATAATAATAATAATAATAATAATAATAATAAAGATTGACCCGGGGCTATGATATGAGCCTTTGTCCGACCTCGTGTGCCTAATCATTCGCGCACCGCATATGGGCTGGATCTCGTAAACCTAGAAAACTTACGCAAAACTACTTCACCAAAAAGTCACTGTGAGCGGCATACGCCAGCGCGCGCACACACAGACATGCATGCACGCACGTGCGCGAGCGAGAGCACGCGCTGCACACACAGATATATATATATATATATATATATATATTATCAACAGTAATTAAATTTATTCCTGTGCTAGTGATTTAAACATGTGCCTATAAATTTTAATAAAGAGCATAATTTATGATACTGTTTGTTTTCTGATAAAATTAAATATTAAAAATTAGTTTTTATTAATGCAATATCAAATGCATTATGTCGGTTTTTGCTAAAATTACATGAGAAATTAGGGTGGATAGAGAGAGAAAGAGAGAGTATATGTATATATATATATATATATATGTATATTGCAAGATAATTTATAATTCTCGATGATACAACTCAATTGTCACTCTCCAAACCCGCACCGCATTTTGTCCCTTTTATTTCCCCTCGCTTTCGCTATCATTTAAACCTGCTAATTGGGCCAAAAAGCCTATAAAAAGAAAAAGAGAGTAATTTTGTTCTAATTATTAAGCCGAGGAAAAAATAAAGTGATAAGCATGGAAGCAGTTGGGTTGTAGTTATCATCGAAGTAAAAGGAATCATTATTTATATTCTCTCCAAGGTCAAAGGCACAAATCTTATACAAGAAAATATTAATTTGGTGCATGTTTTAGATTTCAGAATAATTGCTAGTTTAACTAAGCTGCCAAAATTAAAATATCTGTCAATTTAATGTATTTTTACATGATTTTAATTAATATAGAATTTAATGAAAATAAAATAGTTTCATTCATAGACTCTCCCAAAGATAAATCATTTATTCTTTATTCAAATTAGCACTAGAATGATAATTTTACTTTTAGACCATAATGTTAGAGTGGTAATTCGTTTATCTTTGTTGAGTATCCTTGGATAAGGCTAAATTTATTTTGAAACTATTTGTAGTTCTTTCTCCTAAAATGAGTAATTCATTTATTGAACAACAACAATAGCAACAACAATGACAAGCTTTTATCCTATTAATTGGTGGCTAGATGAATCCTTTTCTATATTGTGTCCTATTGAGTGTCATATTTTCATTTAATTTTAACAAATTAAGATAATTTCTTATACAACATGCCTCAGTTTTTTTATGTCCACATACCATTCTTAACAAAAGTTTAATCTAGAACAACTACTTTTCTAACCAAGTCAAGTGATGGTTGAAGGTTAATGTGACCAAACCATCTAATACGTCTCTCTAATCTTGTCGGTCACTAGAGATACACCAACACTTTTACGGATAAATCAGTCACTAGAGATACACCAACACTTTTACGGATAAATTTGTTTTGCATTTTGTCTCTAAATATAAAGCCACTCATCCACCTAAGCATTCCCATCTTAACAATACATAACTTTGTTTTATGATTTTCTTTTATTGGTCAACATTTTGTGCCATTAAACATTGTAAATCTTATGACCATCTTATAAAATGTTCTTTTAATTATAAGTGACTATCCAACTTGAACTCTACTAATAGCATCCCCATATATGTGATGATCACTTCGAACAATAGATTGAAGATATCTAAAACAATCACACCTTTATTAACTTGATCATCCATTATGACCCTCCCACTAGATCTAGTACTACTAAAATCACATTCAATATATCTAGCTTTTGATCTTCTAAAAATAAAGTCTTTAGACTTTAAAGTTGATCTCCATAATTCTAGTTTCTCCTGAAATATTTATCAAGACTTATCCACAAAAATGATATCATCAGTGAAAAACAAACACTAAGGTACATTCTCGTCTATATCTACAGTAAGAATATCCATAACTAGAGCAAAAAGATACGAGCTTAAAACTGACCCCTGATGTAATCCAATTGAAATATAAAATTACTTGACCAATACTACATCTATTCAAACACAAGTAACAACTCTAGTATACACATCTTTAATGACATGAATATAAGTAACATCAACACATTTCTTTTCTAGAACTCTCCGAAGCATTTCTTTTGAAACCTTATCATAAAAATTTTCTAAATTAACAAAAAAACATATGTAGATCCATCCTATTCTCTCTGTACTTTCCATCAAACCTCTTAATAAATGTATAACATCCGCTGTAAAATTGCCCGACATAAATTCATATTAATTTTGAGAAATCCTCATATCACATCTTAACCTATGTTCAACAATGCTTTCCCATAATTTTAATGTAGGACAAATTAATTTAATTCCTCTATAATTTACACACTCTTTTGCATCCCTTTTTTCTTAAAAATAGGGACCAAAATGCTTATACTCGACACCTTAGTATCTTCTTTGTTTTTAAAATAATTTTTAAAGTCTATAAGCGAATAAATTCCATAGTCACTTAAATATTTTCACACTTTTATTGGAATACCATCAGTTCCTACTGATTTTTTACACTTTATTTATTTTTCTTTAAAGCTTCCTTGACTTTTGTTTTACTAATGTGACTATTAAAATAAAATAAAAATATTATTGTTAAAAATATTAAGTTTACTAAAGTCGATCGTATTTTTAAAATCTCCATCTAAAGTTTATCAAAATATCTCACTCACATATGTTGGATATCCTCATATAAAAAATTACTTTTTGATTTGCATCATTAATACACTTTTCTTGAACTAAATATTTGGTTTTCATGTCTCATTATTTGAATAGTTTATGCATATTTCTTTCACCCTATTCATTATCCAATCTAGTATAAATATAAGTAAAAACGAACTTCTTGGCATCAGAAATTGTTCTCTTCAACATCCTATGAGTCACCTGTTTTTTTTTCTTCTAATTCTATAAGCTTTTACATTTAAACTAATATTTATAACAAAATTTCTTGTATTTTATATTTTCTTGGATATTATTCTATCACCGACTATTGTTATTTATAAGAGTTTTTTCTTTCGATTCACCAAGTACAATATTGTAACTTGCTCAGTAATGGTCATAACATTAATCCACATAACATTAGTTTCTTTATGAACATCCTAGGTCTTAAGGCATTAAGGTTTACTAATAAAAATAATTTTATTTGTGTCTTTTAAATTCCTCAATCTAATTATAAGATAATATTTCATTATTTTTTTATCTTCTAGCCCTCCACCTTAAAATTCAAAACCAATAATTGAGGTTGAGTACTCAAATTGTTACTTGGAACAAACCTACAATCATTACAATCTCTACACTCAATTCATCTCATAAGAAAATGATAAATTCGTATTTTATTAAGTTCATTCTCATAAGTGATAATATGCTAATATATTTTTTCAAATAAAAAATTAGCAATAATAACATCACATGCTAAAGAAAAATAAAATACGTCTCTACCTTTTTCATTAGTCACTTCAAAACCGTAACCACCATGAAAATTTTAAAATTTTTCTATCACTTTACCAATATATCTATTTAAATTTTCTCCAATGAAAATGTTTTCTTCAAGAGGTATCCTTTGTATTAATTCTTCTAAGTCATTCCAAAAAATATTTTTTAAGTAAAGTGTTAGAGAAAAATGATAAGCTAAATCAACATATAATATGATTTTATCTTCTTCATTAATGACTCTAAAATTGCAGCCATCTTGAATATTTTTAAAATTTTTCACCACCTTATCGACATGTCCATTTAAATCTCAACTAAAAAAAATCTTTTTTAAATAGCCAACCTTTGTATTAATTCTTTTAAGCTATTCTAAAAA